GACATGCGTCAAGTCTCGGTTAGGGGGTCTTCTTTATACACTATCTGACTAAAATCTTCACCCCACACCTACAGGAAAGGCTGGCCTCTCAACAAAACGAAATTTTGGGTCGATGTTTTTGAAAGAGCCGAAGTTATGGTACTACAAAAGTTCACTTCCGGAAATAGTCATCACAAAACACTAAGGTGACGGTATGCCGTACATAGGCTCTAGATCTAGATTTAGATCTAGATCTAGAATCTAGTCCCCATCAAATTTCCTTTCAAGTTCAAGGGGCCTGAGCTCAATAACTCTTGTCAAATTCAGATTCATGTCTATGATTATGATACAGTAGGGAATCCTACACGCAAGCGATAGCTATATGCCCATGCCATGGTGAAAAAGAGACACTGACTGCTGAGAATCAAAACAAACAAGTAGATTCTAGACTTAGACTCCAGCCAGATAACATTAAAACTTAAGAAACCAAGAACACAAGGAAGGATCTCGATCTACGTAATCACTCAAGTCATTCTAAAGGAAAATATGACAGGTAGAGAAACCCATACTCTTTATCAAATCATAGACAGGCGAGTTTGACAAACACACACACATACACACCTCTGTGAAGGCTATTGCAATCGTACGAGTGTGAGTAAATAAATAATATGAGTAGAAGAAAATGGCGAATGCGGAAGTGACGTTTGGGTGAATTGTAAATGGAGAGAATGTATTATCATCTTTAATTTTGTTATATGGTTGAAAGGATAGCGCTAAGTAGGAGGTTTATAAACAGTCTCAGGCTTCTAACAAAAAAGCAGATAGTTATCATACACAGCTCATGTAAGGGTTGTCTAAGTTTTAAGTGTAAACGTTAAGATTTCGCAAAGAAAATCCAATTTACAGCTTGTTCCGTTTCTACAATAAGGGTCCGACTTTTAGTGTAGAATGGAAAATAATATTTTGACCAATGACTCTTTGCTATTTCTTCACTGCAGAGTAGCATTCCATATGGCAACAAGACAACAGCAACAAGATGGCGGCGTAGTGAGAGCTGTAAAACAACTGTTTGTATTAGGTTTATGAATATACCACGATTGGAAAATGGATATTTTCGGTTCAATGTTCTCTAGGCGTTTGAAAAAAGACCCAGCTGACGATTCAGGGTAAAAGCTACTTGATTAAATCGTTGTCTTTTAGTTTAATTTGTAAACTTAATTTTACACTGGGTGTTTTTACTGTTACTCGACTGCACTGACTTTTTGATTCATTGATTATGATCAGCTCAATGTTATCAATGGGAACAAAAGGGGAGGACTTCCGTAACGAGCGACCACTACGTGACGAAGTAGAAAAGAGGGCTAGGGGTAGTCTTAGGGTTTAGTCTCTTCTTTATTGTGTTTGTAGGGGTGGGCGCTCGTTACGGATCGAAGTCCTTCCCAAAATCCAAAAGCACACTGAGTTCGAAAAATCTAGATAATCTATCTAGATCTAGATCTAGATCTAGATAATCTAGATTTCTAGATCTAGTTATTATCTAGATTCCAGCTCAGTAATTTAAACTCACAAAGAGTAATTGCCACTCTCCCCTACAACCAGGTAAAAATAATTGGTATGTCTAAGAAAATCAATATTAGTAGTGTATTAGTCTTTTTTATGCCAAATGTTCCACAGAAATAAAAAAGGAGAACTACAATGGCTAAGGCTAGTTTCAATAAAATAAGCCCAATTCTGAAAAATAGAAACATCTCAATGAACACCAAAATGAAAGTCCTGAAATGCTATGTTTGGTCAACCTTTCTATATGGCTGTGAATGCTGGACAATCACTAAAGACAGTAAAAATAAAATAGAAGCAACAGAAATATGGTTTCTTAGGAGACTGCTATGAATATCGTGGAAGAAAAATAAATCAAATGAGGTACTGCTTGATGAAGCCCACGTGGCACGCTCAATGTTAAAAACAATCAGGAAACGACAAATGCAGTTTTTGGGACTCATGAATTAGACATAAGGGTCTTGATCATATATAGCTCTCACTGACAAAATTGAGGGCAAACAAGGCAGGGGTAGGCCCAGAACAACATACTTAGGGAACCTAAACAAATGGGTAACAGGGAAAGATCAGGGAAACGTAGCTTTTTTTAGAGCATCCGAGCAAAGGAATGAATGGAAAACCTTGATCGCCGATGTCTGTCGCAGATCTGACACTGGATGATCTACAAATATGTTTACCTACAAACACAAAAAGACACACACTAACACATTCTTGCATGTACACATACACACACACACACACACACACACACACACACACACACACACACACACACACTCACTCACTCAAACACACACACACACATTCACATACATACACACACACAAGAACATAATATAGAAACACTTGCTTATACATGACTTCATAAGTGCTACCAAATACTGGATGTTTGAACTTGCTATTTGCTTTAACAGATTCGCTTTACAGAAAGTTACTTTCACTGATACCTTTGTTTTATCAGAGAAGAAAAAGAAAAGGCTGATAAAAAGGAAAGACCTCTACCTGGAGATGCCTCCATGAGATTTGATATAAACATAGAGGAAGGGGAAGCTGTCCTGGATAAAACTGACAATGATGATGATGATGTGGACTTGTCTGTTGACGAAGACTTGGAGGAAGAGGATCTAGATGAAGTCATTGGGTTTGTTATTGGATTTTTCATAAGTATTTTACTTGTTTTCTATTGATATATATGGAATTTCATCTGATTATTTCTACTGTATTTTATCCAATAACTTTTCCATACACCGCAGCTAGAGGTCTCAAGCCAATTTAGTGAAGAATTTTGGGAAAGAAGGGGAACGAAATTTTGTTGTTGATGTTATTGTGTTCATTTTTTTGTTAAAAGTACCTGTTGCATATAATTGCAGTCAATTGCTTTCGAACTCATGTCCGTACGGTTTTAAAAATTTAAAATATTTAATACTTATTTGTGTTTTGTGCTTTAGGATTCCATTGAGTTTCACTCTTTATTATTGAAATAAAATATGGGTAACTTGAAATTGAAATGAAGTTCATCTTGAGTGCAATGAATATTTGACCGTCTCTTTCAGAGACTCTGATGATGAAAGAGAAAAACGCTGGAGACCACCAACCATTAAGAATGCCAGACCTCCACATCCTCTGACTGTCACACATGTAAAACAAACCCTAGACCTACAGGTATTCATTGCAGTCTAACTTATTGACATTGTCAAAATGTCTTTTGTTTCTAAAATTGTTGCGCCTACACCATTTTGTCACTACTGTTTGCTCTTTTAACTGGCGAATAACACTGCCATAGATTAATGAGAATGGCAAATAGAATCTGAAAAGACTTTGAATGCTATATATGTAGTATTTTTCCTCCACCCTTGCCTTATTGTTCTTCTTCTTTTATTCTTGTAACAGCTCTTACATGAAACATAACAAAAGGTCAGTTCATAATTCTAAATTGACATTTTGGTATTTATAACCTCTCAGATGAAAAAAATATCAATTTATCTTGAATAGAAGTCGAGATATTTGCGGTTGAAGGAGGTGGAGTCGCTTGGTTTCAGAAGTAAAATTAGCGAGAAAATGGCCGCCAAAGTTTGGTGACTTCCATAGCTTATGAGTCCTTGGAAACTGCAAATTTACATATTTTGTGCTTTTAATCAACGTTTTTCCATAAAATCCACACGTAAAAGTGTTTTTCAATTGATTTGCAAGGTGTTGAGCCAAAAGACAAAAATTTGAAAAAAAATCCCATACTGGCCCAAAAAATGCAGATTTCTCTGATGTAATTATTTTGACGAGCGCCTGATTTCATCACGCTGCCACACATATATGTAAATGATTCTGGACAGTAAGAAAGTTAAGTCTCTATCATCAGTAGCCTGAGTACTTCCATTGTGTGCTCTTTAAATCATTTATGGACACTCACTCTCTCTCTCTCTCTGTCTCTCTCTCTCTCTCTCTCTCTCTCACACACACACACACACACACACACACACACAAATTCTCACACATATGTGGATGTGTGTGGAGACAACGGATGTGGTCGTGGATTGGATGGGATGGAGGTTGGCGTAACATTCATTAATTTTCCAACATCTGAAAGAGGTTGATTAATGTGATATCAGGAACAAAAACAAAGAAGGCTGTTGTATGCAACATGTGGTTGTTGCTGATCGAAAAAAAAGAAGAAAAAAAAACCCAACAACAACAAACAAACAAGTAAAAATACACTAAAAACTCACAACAACCAAAAAAACAACAAAAACCCCTACAAACATAAAAACAACAACGACGAC